TGCACATACATATTACTAGGAGTAAACCCCATTTTTTATGGCTCAGGCTTAACGTAACCATGCCTTGTGTGTGGGCCTTTATATACTAATCTGTTCCTGTTTTTCTTTGGTTCCTGAATCATGCCAAGATAAACGCTGTTCTATCAATACCTCTACCAGGGTTTTTAAATGATATTCTCAATATAAATTCTACAATGAGTCATAGGACATGGCTCTGTTGTTTTTATGGCATGGCTGCGCAGGTGTCAGATGTTTTGGATAGTTCCATGTTTGTGATAATTTTCTCAGAGTGAATGCCAGAGGGCTGGCATTGCAAAGGCTCACGGTGGGCTAACGCACGTTTCCTGGTTTTTATTCCTGCCAGAAAATTATTACGTACCCCGAGGAAATGGTTCTCAACGCACTGTAATGTTTCACGAGCCGCTCGTGACAAGTTGAGGATGAGGCGTTTGGGCCGCGTTGTGTCGTGGCGGTGCTACGCAGAAGCAAACCAAGAAAAGTGTAGTGCCCCAAAGCAAATTAAGGCGCACGGGATTAATAAATATATCGGGATTAATAAATATATCTGGATTCATAAATTTCTCGGGCTGCAACCAAATATGGGCTCGATCTCAGATTTATATGAAATAATAAGAACTCTTCATTCGAATATCACAATTTTTGGTTATTCTAATTGGTGTACAGTACTAATTTTAATAATCTCACGTAACTGCGATGTAAGTGAGTCGGCATCAGAATCTTTATGTAAACAAGAAGAATCCGATGAGCTATGATCTCTTTTTTTTCACAGATGTCCAATACAGTTTATGTAGCTTGTCCAACGTCATGTTTATGTAGTTACATGACGCACCTGAAATATGTTCTGCTTGGGACCTCCAATGGGCTGGGCAATTGCCACTGACATTGTGTCTCACAGATATCGGGAATAGGCAGCATCGCCAGCTGCCCCTTGGCAATGTTTAAGGCCTCGTTTTTTTGAAAGCTCTGGTTACAGCTTTTGTAATAAGCTGGTTCACTAGCCTCTGTGATTCTTCTGTTTAAAAAAAACACTTGTGCGATGAGCGGTAAAACCACAAAGGCCAGGCGTTCTAATTGGCCAATTAAAACGCAGACATGAATTCAAGTTTTGTATTTGCAATTGTGCTTTCAAGCTTGCATTGCAGAAACCGTTCATTGTGCGAAAAAAACCCACATTTGTAGGTGTTTGTATATATTTAAAAAAAATATTTAAAAAATTCAGCATTTATACATTTCAGTGGATTAAAATACACCCGCTCTTATATTTTGTGGAGCAGAGCATGTTACTGAGCAATGACAACTTCCACGGAGAGCCAAACGAGGTCACTTGACCTCTGCTTCGTGGCTTGCAAGGAGCCTGAAAATCAAGACCACAAGCTGAATACGGCTACTAATCAAGCGAGTGTGTGTGGCTGTTTCGTGTTATATCAAGCTGCACGCCGGCTGCTTCTGATGTTAACACTTCAGAATAGCCCAAGTGCAGAGCAGTATAACCAAGGCCCTTCGGTGTTTTTGAGTGGAAGCGATTTCTGTTAAGTCTTCTCTCCATAAAGCCACGGTCGGGTCCCGTCTGTCTGGCAGCCTCGAGAAATTAAGCCGAGCAGTTTTCGCCTCCAGACAACAGCGAAGTAATAACAAAAATGTTGTTGGAACAAGTAAATCCAGCAGTGTGGCAACGACCATTCGCGTCTCACAAACAGATTGCTGTGAAAAGGCTTGGAATGCAGACTAAAGGGAAGTACACGAAAGTATTTGCTAAAAAGTGTCATACCTATTACTTTTAAAGTCACCAAATTCTTCCCTTTGGAGTTATTTACATTCTAAAGGTTTTGATCGGTGGTACTTTAAAGGGACGTTTATTTTGAAAAGATTTGCTAAATCTGCAAGGATTATAGTGGAAGTGTTGTCCAGGCACTGTGTATATATATATAAATAGCAATACCGCAATAATATTCGCGTAAGATGTATATGCGCATCCGTTACTAACTTTGTATTGTTTTTTTAAACCTTTAAAAACAGCTCGCCTTTAGTGGCTTTCCCCCTTTTTCCTCCTGATGACAATCGCTTGTGTTGTGATCGAAATGTCGTAGTTTAAATTTATTTTATTTACTTTAAATTTTCTATTTACGTGATTTTACCGAAAGAACCAAAGAATATGAATACAATGTGTTTCTGAGGAGGATGCAGATCGTGGTAAATGCCTGTTTTTACAGAAACGGGGTAATCATGGCTATGTAAGATGGCATGATCCGCTCAGAATATTGTCGTCGGGAGGATCGCGGGATTTTCTTTCTAAAATAATTCGTGAGAAGCTTTCCCGCCCGCAAACAAAGGTACAATTCTGTGCATACAGGGGAAAAGTGGAAGTCAGTGAACGGTTAGAGGCTCCTGTCTGTTTTTTTCGGGTGCCTAATATTTTTGTGCATTCCTGTAAGGCATTGTATTTCATTTACATGTAACACAAGTAGAAGGGAGTGTTTCGATTTAAAGCTTTCGTGACTGCAGGGATTCATCTTCTGGGTTATTTCGGTAAAGTCACGTAGAATGGAGATAAAATAATAAAAATAATAACAGAATAAAATTCTCACGACGTTTCGGCCACAACACAAGTATCCTTCCTCAGGTGAAGAAACAGGACTGTCCGGAAGACAGCGCTTGAGTGAGTGTTCAAAGTAGGGTCCGAAAATGCTGGCACTGAGAACAAGAAATGCTCTCAAAACACAGACACAGAACGAACATTAATAACTAGCTTGTTTGCCCGGCCTCGGACGGAAGCTGTAATATTTACGAAAAAATTGAGCAGAGTATCTTGTGTAAATTTAATGGCAGTGAATCTTGCACGAAAGTATGTCATCAAACACTTCACTGCAGTTCACTGTAGCACTGTATTAATGGCAATGAATCTGGCACAAAACGAAGTCATAAAACACTTCACTGCAGTTCAATGTAGCACTGTACTGTATGTAACTGACCTTAAAATTGTTCAAATTCACTGCTATGATACTTTATTCTCTTCTGCTTTCGGTCGCTGGGGTTTAAATAAATTAGAATTCGATCAAATATCACCGAGAAATGTCCATTTTACCATAACGTAGAAGCATGAATTTGATTTACCCTCTTGTTCTCTCTTTATGTCAATGACTTGGACACTGACCTGGATCATTCCAGGGTAAATCTTTTTGCAGATGACACGATACTGATTACTGCTGGCCGCTCTCCGGATGACGTGATTGCTAAGCTCCAGGGCGATTTCAACAAACTACAACATCAGCTAGTTGCTCTTAAACTAGTCCTGAATACCTCCAAAACCAAGGTGCTGTGCTTCTCACCAGGACTAAAGCAGGAAGTTATTTTTCCTCAGTTACATTCCTTAAATAATTATCAAATAGAACAAGTCAATATGTATAAGTATCTTGGTGTCATCCAGGATTCATAACTGAATTTTGAAGATTACATTTATTATATTGGTAAAAAGACAAAAGTAAAAATAGGTTTTCTGTATCGACACAAGCACTGCTTCCCCCCTATGTTCCGTTTGGAATTGATAAAAGCTACCATACTGCCTCTACTTGATTACTGTGACATCGTATATAAATCAGCCCCAAGTACTGTACTGAAGAAGCTTGACTCAATTTATCACTCAGCCTTAAGATTTGCATTGAACTGCCCATATAGGACTCACCACTGTGATCTCTACATTGGGTCAAACTTAACATCTCTCAATGTTCGACGGCTTGTGCACCAGATTTTATTTATTCACGATGTACTTACAAAAAAATCCGCAGACTACCTGCTGGATCTCCTCTCTGTTTCGAAGAACAAATGTGACCTAAGGTCTTCACTCATTTACCAGCTTCACATTCCTTATTGCCGTACAAATACTGGATGAAGGGCCTTTGCTATTGATGCCTCCAGTGTCTGGAATGCTATTGCCAATAAACTGCAACTTGAATCACTACCTATGAGACCTTCACTCAAAACTGCTCTAGAGGAGTTGTACACCCCTAGCTGCCACTGCTATTCAGTGGCCTAAAATCAAATGTTTCGCTCAGAATGACCACTGCAAAGTATGATCTTGTGTTTTGATTTAGTGTGCTGATCTTTAAAGGTGCATTGAATTTTTTTTTATACTCCTACTGATGCTCCTGCTGTTGTGGAGTGACTCATGCAGCCAGCTATGGCTACAGGGTTTGGTGGTACATGTTGTTTATGTCGTTTATTGTGAAATTTCGGTCACAGTTCCGATGATCACTGTTACATTGCTTTTATGGCCTTATTTTGGTGATTTCGAAAACGTTTTTTGGTTTGGTCATGTTTGTTTGTTGTAGTATGGAGTTAGACTGATGGCTTTAATCTAAGTTGTCTTGTTGTTGTGTGACTTGCATCCCACTGGGATTTTTGCACACAGCATTGATGTACTGTGCTTTTTCTGGAATATGTTGCTGTTTTTTCCTGGATTTTCTGTTTGCGCAGTCACATAGTCACTTTAAGATGTTACTTGTTTTTGTTTTTTGTTTGTTGCGGTTGTACCCGATTCAAGAGCCGAATGGCTCACAGGGCCATACCAAAATCAATGAAACTGAACTGAAACTGAACTCAAGTGCTGAAGAAATAAATAAAGACGCCAAATCCACTTTGTTGCTGCGTAGAATGATTTATTAGATTCACTTTCAATAAAGAAACGTCAAACTTATAGCGACTTTGCAGAAAAAAAAATATTTCTGCTCGACCTCCTTTCTGCGTGAGTGTAAAAATCGGCATGTGGAGTGACGTCACACGCGTTACGCACAAACATTCATTCTTGGCTCATTACAGTAGTAATAGATGTCGAAAATTTGTGCTTCGTTCCTCTGCCCCGCAACGTTGTAATCAATGTAATTTGAAATTCTAATTTTGTCTCATTTTCTGCCTGTCCCCTTCTCCCTCCCCCCCTTCTCCCTCCCAACACCCCCCCTCCCCCCCCCCGTGTGTTTCTCTCTCAGGACTGGTGAAGCTGGGTGTTCACTGTGTGACGGGAAGAAAAGTGGCAATAAAAATAGTGAACCGCGAGAAGCTCAGCGAGTCCGTGTTAATGAAGGTAGGCCCCGCGGAGCCCACGCCACACAGTCGTTCCGGCGTGCGTCATCGCCCACAGCCGTGCGCCGTTGCGTGCCACAGCCCCGCATTCACGATGACATCTTTATAGAAAGTTAAGCTTTTGCCTCTCAACGCCTTCTTCAACGCAGACGGAGAGAGAGAGAGAGAAAATCGCCAAACGCCATTCCGGCTTATTCCGTCCCCCCTGCTGTTTGCATTAAAAAATGTGGGGCTTTTCCTCTAAAACACCCCAATGCGTCCAATAGATTCGCTTTTGTGCTGGGGATTCTGGGCGATTTTATTCGCGCGCGCGCGCGCACTTTGGGCACAGCACAGGAATGCGCCACGCTCTGCTTCACCCTCGAGTGTGCCATGAGGCTCTTACGGCGGTCCAAAAGTGGTGGTGGTGGTGGTGGTGGCGGGGGGGGGAGGGCGGGGGCGCCAGGGACGGAGGGGGGTGGGGGCAATTACACACAAGTTGGAAAGTGGCCAAGATTTTCGGAAAGAGCTCGGGTGGGAGTGAAGGCATGGGGGGAGGGGGCATCTGAGAAAGGTGGCGCGAAGGGCGTTTGACCTGGAATGCGGGGAGGGGGGGTGGATGTACTTCAGTTTGATGATGGTGCCTTTTGTTACGCCTGTACATTTAAAACTATCCGGAGCTATTTTCCTTTGGGGGGGGGGGGGTGACAGTAGAATTGTCTAAAAGATAAAGCGTGTCATTGTTTTTTTTTATCCGTAAATTTGAGAATAATGAAATCGTGGTTTAACCTAAAGACAATTCTTCAGTTCGGAGGCATGGCTCGGATGCGATGCCTCGTTCACACCCAAAACCCCTTTTAGCCCACTATGGTTTTAATTGTAAGTAAAGCAGGCGGTAGTATAAGCTGGTTCTGCGAGTCCATTCATGCTTCGGTTTAAGTCGCTGTACCCCGCACGAGCAAACTCTTGGCGAACATAAACCACTCATTTAAAAGCCGAATCGCTGTGCTCGACAACAGGCAAGCGTGGCAGACACGTACAGTATTACAGCCTGAGCTTGCGTCACCGTCTGATTATGGTGAGACATAAAATTCCCATTAGGCGCGTAGCCATGCTGGTCTTGCCGTTGTGAATGTCACCCTAATTTATTGTGCTGCGATCGTGAAATACTTAACAGCACATTAAAGGGCAAATATACTAATGTTGCTTGCAAATGCGGCTTCTGCACTGAACTCGTCACAAAGTTTTTTTCCTCCGCATGTTGAGCTTGTTTGGATCAAGTGGTATAAAAACAGAGCCATCCATTGATCCGTTTTCCCCACTAAAATCATGCGGAAACTTATTGAGAAAACAACATTATATTTTAAAGCCTCTACTTGTCTCCCACCAATCCCAATACGATTCTTAAATATTTTAACAATATCCTGATGCACTTTGTCACAATACAGCTAATGGGATCAGCTGACAACATTCAATTATGTGTAAGCTGAGCTCAATAGAAATAAGGAGGGTCAATAGTAGTTGGTGGGCTACCTATAAATGGGATAATCTCATATCTACACAAAAAAGTGCATTCAGCAGCAAAAAAACATAACAGCAATCCCAGTATGCTTGGCATGCCCAGATGACATCGGCATTCCTGGGCACATGCAGGCTACAGCTCTTAAGGCCACTGTTCAAAAGAGCTAAGAGTCGAAATAAAGATGAAACCAGTATACAGTTGCCTTGTCCCTCTGCTGCCTGAATTTTAAAAAGCCACAATCTCAGCTTGATTGAGCTGGTAGTCACTACAAGGCTGCGTACAGAATCTTTGTAAGACCGGAATTGCCACTTTGGCATGCACACCGCGTGCGGGGGATTCCTTTTTAATGTTTTTTTTTTACGTGGAAGACCTACAATAGAATTAGGATTTACATAGATTCTAAATGCAACCACATATTGGACAGAAACAGTGGGCATATTGATATAATATAGAGAGAGGAAGAGTCCATCATAGGCAGTGAGAAAAAAAGGTCCCGAGTCTGGACTGGTTAAGTAAGTTGGTGGCACATATATGGCCTTGGTAAAAGTAATGCCAGATTATGATGGGGGGGGGGGGCAGCAGCAATGAACGAGCAACCTTTCACTGAGCGAAGGTTGACTGCCGGCTTGGATATAAAGTCTTTTGTTGATGGATCTGAGGGAGTGCGTGGAGGAGAATAGGTCGAGTGAGATGACAAGAGCAGCCTGGCCCGAGTCCCTGGATGATCTTGGGGTACGATCTTGAAATATCGTTTACGTATGCATGAACAAACGGCCGTGTACCCGGTTGACCATGGGAAGTGCAGAACACGCACCTAGCGCACCGCTCAAATTGAGCGGAATGAAGATGCTGTAATAAGGCCCATTAACTGGCATGCATATTAAGACAATCAGCGAAAGTTAAAAGCGGAGGCTGGGGGTGTCATTATAAAGCTGGTGCACCGCTGCGTATTATCATCCCAATTGGTCCTGCTGAGATCTCATTTTGAACTTCCCGCCCGAGCAGGTATTTGTAATGCACACTGGGAGGCACGCCCAAATGAATTTTAATGCTCCCTCTCATGACGTGTTTACAGCCTGGATTTACAGTTAATTGCATCTTTTTCCTTTGTATGTTTCTGTCGCCCGTTCTGTGCGACATGAATCCTAATGAGCCAACTACCACTTCAGATGTGCTGTGGACACTCATTACTACAACACCCGATTATTAAATGTCCTGGGGCGGTCCGAGCACTCTAAAATGCACCTTTAAACGACCTCGTATGGCAAAACGCAGTGCAATTGCGAGTGTGCTTTTCACTGTTAAGGGCACTTAATGAAACACATTTTCCTAAATGTGCAGGGCTATTATGCGTCCACTATGAAAGAGACCTTTGCTTTCAAAGCATCCGGACTGTGGAACTCTCTGCCGAAGGCTGTTAGGGAGTCCGGTTTTGGTTGGGACCCTTCAAGCGCAGCCTAAAAAACATTCCTCTTTCAGAAAGCATTGTGCCTATTTTAACTCGGCCACTTCTTTAGCCCCCCCCCACCCGATCCGATTGCCACGATGCACGAGTCGTGCGGTTCGATTTAAAAATTGAGACTCGCGGTTTCTGCGGCCGTGATGAAAATGTACTTTCAAAACTTTACTCGGGAACGGCTGCGCGCGTGCGACTTCAACGGCGGTTGTTGCGCGAATCGCGCCCTCCTTCCCACCCGGGTCCCCTGACAGTCCCACTCGAGAGTCACTGGCAGTGGGTGGCTGGGACAATGGGGACAACAGCCCCCCCCCCCAACCTCCACCCACCCCTGATTTTTTTCTTATTGATATTTACCAAATAATTGTTTTTATTAAATATGTGTATAGATACATACTGTGTATATATATACAGGCAGTCCCTGACTTACGAATGCCCGATTTACGAACATCCACACTTGTGAACGAGCTCCCGTAAAGTATTTATTTTCTAACCATCTGACTTGCGGGACATGAGCTCGCATTTGCGAACTGAAACGCGGAAACTATTTACAGTTTTACATGCAAATTTACAATATTTCTTCTTATTTATGACTTTAACAATGCTTTCCTTTTTTTGTCGAACCGTAACACATTTTATAATGCTGACCGTATGTACATTTAAATACAGTGCAATATTGCGCGCCGACTTACGAACAATTCGACTTGCGAACGGGTCTCGGGAACAGAACCCGTTCGTAGCTACACCCATTTCAAACCTTTTAAAACAGTCTGCCTCAGCAGCAGACCATGCTATCCCACCTGATGATGGACGCTTGTGTTGCGCCCGAAACGTCGTGATTGATTTTATTTTATACCTACGTGACTTTACCGAAAGAACCAAAGAGTATGGATTCCTGCAGTCACGAAAGCTTCAAATCAAGATATAATAACCGATAATAGTCTGAATTGGTGCACGGATAGTCACTCGTACTTTGTCGGAAAAGTAAACACGTTAACTGGGTTCTGCATTTTGTTAGGAGCAGTGTACAATCTCAAACTGGGCTTGCATTTGGAACATTTCTAAGCACTACTCACCCAATTGTAAAACAGAAAGATACACGTAATTGTATTCTTCTTCTTACCTCCAGTAAATCAATTTTTGTTTAAAGCCAATCGTGATGCTTTCCGATGGCCCATCACTTTAACGGTGACCACTCATTCATCTTAATTAAAGGGGTGTTAGCAACAGCTCCTTTGCAAGTTAGCAGGGTTAATGGGTTTCCCTCCGATTGCATTTTCCTGGTGGATTTATTTGGAATGATTTTTCGGCTCCGTGCGTTTAGAGTGATGACCATATTTAGTACGCGGGCGATGGGTTACATTTTACTCGCATGAGCTAATTGGGTTTTTTCGCAAATCAGAGCCCAGGGCTTTGAGTGGTGTTCTGCGATAGTGAGCTGAAGGGAACATTTCTCCAGGGGGACGGTTGGCATCTTGCAAAGGGAATTAAGTTCAGTAACCACAAGCGCCATAGGAAGCAAAACAATGTCCGGGGGGGGGGGGGGGTGATTCTAGCGGGTGCATGCGAAAATGTCTTTCACGAGGCTATGTTCCTCAACAAAGCCAACTCGTATTGTTTCTCCACAACCTTGCGGCTCACTTCTCATGCTTCCTACGTTACCATTCGTCCTTAAATAGCGTTGCCATGCTTTGGGCAACATGATGAGTGCCCTTCACATCAACATCATCAGCCATGATCTACGATTGCTGGATGAAGGCACCCCCCCCCCCCCCCACCAAAGCTGTACGTATTTCTCATGATCCTGCGAAGCAACATTTCATTCAGTACCTGCGCACGAGCTGGTTTCATCATCTCCAGGGTTGCGGTCTCCTTGGACTGGTTCCCAACCTCTGACCGTAATCCCTACTTTAACTACATGTCCTGCCAAACCCCACTTACTATTCTTATATGCACACATTCCTCTTCCTTTTGTGCAGTCTTCATTGTCAGTGATTGCGTTTCTGACTCACGTCTTAGCAGATAAGATTCACCGATTTAAAAA